GGGGGGGACAATAACAAAAAACACTGCGGTTTGATGTTATATCAATTAATTTATTAAGATGTACACACCAAACATGAGGTCGCAATAGGTAGTGCATCCATAAAACATTAATGAATACTGAGATTACATAAAACCAATAGAAATCTTGCACTACAAAATCGACTTAACATCTGATCACTATTCATTTAAAAAAATATGTTATGAATACTAAATCTACATATTTGGTTCTTTGGTACCTCCTGCAAGGAATATTTGGCAAGTTACAGAATTCCTTCCTTGCAAAAGGTTCCAAAGTACCAAAAAATAAGTAATTAATAAGGGTAACTAAATTTGGCACCGACACGGTGGCTGCTAATTCAAATGGAACAATATGTCCAGATAAAACACAACCACTAGTAAATTGAGCACAGTCCAATAATAAATAATATCAGTTTCTCTAGTACTTGAAGTGTGTCAGAGAGACAACACAATCATTAATCTATACAGTAGAATAAAAGTTAAAATGTTATCAATTCATAAGGAAAAAGTCCAACAGAAAATTAAAATAGATTCCTTCCAGAATTTCATCAAGATAATGTGGCACCATTCTTTAGTTTACATTCTAAATCTTTTATCTGTCCTTCATAATAAGTCTCAATACGTTTAAGCTGTTCAACAACCTCCTGTTCCTTTCCACTAACAATACCAGCAAACCTATCCTGAACTTGGCCAAGAATACTGCTGTAGGCAGCTTGAAGACGGGTCAACTCATTATTCAGATGCTTTTCCTTTTCTTCTGATTGTTTCTTGTAATGTACCGCAGCTTTCCTTGCATGTTTGTATTTTGACTTCAACTCTTCAATTTTATTTTCAAGCAGAGATTCTCTACTTTGTAATTCTTTTACCTGTAATTCAAGTTTTAATGTGTTATTGATTGAGAAATTGGAATTTTCAGAAAACTACATGGTAGATTACAAATATTATTTGAAATGATACCTCATTTGCCCAGCGAGACAGAGCCTCAGTCATATTGTTTCTATCACTTTCAATTTGCTCTTTAAGTTGTTCTACATGTAATCGCAGTTGAACAGAATCCTCTGGCCCTTTGTTTCCGTTGAGAGAAATTCCTCTTTCTGGCATCTTTTGGAGCTTCTTGTTCAGATCATCTACCTGGAATGGTTAAAAGAAATAGCAAAGGTAGATAAAAGAAATAGTTATATAATTACTTTCAGTATATTTTGTGAGTTTTTGATTGAAAGTAAAATATATGAAATAAAAACCTCTTGAGACTTTTGTAGCAAAGCATTTTTCAATGCTGAAAGGTGTTTTGAAAATGTGGATTCCATGTCAACTAATCTTTTAGCAAAACTGCCTAGTTCAGACCGATGTTTGTCCTCCATTTTAGATATCTCTTCGGCAAAGTATTTCACTGTTTCTTCCTTCACATGTTCTTCTGCTGATGCCAAATCGACCTAAAAGTCAAACACGTACTTTTTAAAGAAAATGGACAGGTGGATGGTATGTAAGAATGCTTAGTTTTATCAACCTTGTGTTCAGCACGCAATGCCATGATTCTCTGCTCCTCATTTGCTTTGAATTGAGTACTAAGTTCTGATATCCTCTCATCAAACTGTTTTCGGAGGGCTTCCAGAGTACTTGCTAAAAATAAATTGGACAGATAGTAAAAACTAAAAATAATCAAATCTCAATACACCTGATTAAAAGTTATAACCCGATTTACCATTTTCTGTGTTTACACCTATTTCCCTAGTAGATGGGCGGATTCTACTGAGAGCTTGCAAGTATTCTTCCAGCTGTGCATCCTATAATGAAAGCAAGAAAAAGAGTTCAGTGATCAGATTTACCCACACTTCTTGCTCCTTCTGAAACAATACAATTGATTAGTACTGAACCTTTTGCTTTAATTGAGCTTGAATCGAATCTCTTTCTGCAACCATAGCACCCATTTGAGATTGAAACTCAGTACGAAGGCTTTTCTCCAATTGAATCACTCTTTCTCTTGACTGTTTAAGTTCTCTACTAATGCGTTCAACTTCAGCCTGCTGTCTTTTAGGAGCTTCAATTGCCTGCTTTCGTAGTTCAATACATTCAGTTTCCAGCTGTAAGTAACGAACACATTATTAATTTGACTTACTCTGAATACATATTATCACATAGAAAGACAATCAAACAATGGTATGGTTACTACAAGTATTTTTTCAATCACCTCTTGTAACTTTTGACTGTCCTTTTCCAAGGTATCAACACGTTTTTGTAATATCTCACTTTGCAAAACAGCTTCAGTTTTTGCTGCAGGAAAAAAAGTAAACCAAAATAGAAAAAAAACAAAAAAAACACAGGTAGTGGAAGGCCAGTATTTATGTTGGTAAAATATTATTTTACTGCACCTTTCTGCATTTCATGCAAATTGCTTTCATGCTCCTTGCGAAGATTAGCAAGTCTTTGATTAACAAGTTCTTCTAATTGCCTTTCTCTTTCATCCTTCAATGTAGAGATGCTAGACTTCTCTTTTTCTAATTCATCTGCAAATAAGTGGATTCATTTTAATAAACAATGTTTGCTTGAGGAAAGGAATCACAATTGAATTATTACATAACACATGAAAACACAAACCACGCAAGCGTCTGTTTAAATCTCGCTCTTGTCTATGTAATTCCTCAAGAGATTGCTGCGATTCCTTCATATCGTCTATATCTGATGTGAGTTTTTTAACTTGAGCTTGCTCCTCTTGAAGTCCAGTCAGCAAAGCTCTTTTTGCTGAGCACACCTCAATGTAAAGTCTTTTGATTTCTTCACACTCTTTCTGTGCCTGCTCCATACGAACTCTACAAAGAGGGGATGCGTACAGAGACCATTTCATGACAAAACTCAGTATTTCCAAGACAAAAACATAACAGTTTTCAGAAAAAAACGCACCTATAATCAACTACTTGAGCTTCCAGTTGGCGGCTGCTATCCTGACGTAAGCGTGCAAGAGATTCATCATGGAATGCTAGGAATTCAGCAGCAGTTTGATCAACTTGTCTTACTTTGGCTTGTTCAAGTTCTAACTCCATATCAGCCAGTTCTTCTCGAAGACTATCATTTTCAGATTTCATACGTTCCAGCTAAGTTGAATCATTAACGGGTACTGAATTATTTCCATGAACATTTAACAAGAAATTGCCAAAAATTAACGAATAAAACTTACCTTAACTCTGCAATCTTTTAAATCTCTGTCAACAGCTTCCTTTTCTTTTTTGAGTTTGAATATCTGGCTCTGAAGATCACCAGCTTCATCACTTTTACCTCGGAGGGCTTTAGCTTCATCTTCCTGCCGTTTCAGCCGGTCTAAGACAGCAGTTAGGTTTTTCTGAAAAGATAGAGATAGATAGGAAAACAAAGTCAGGGATGAAAAAATAACTGAAACTGAAGACCCCAAAACAGATAGAGAAAGGAAATATGTACCTTGAAATTTTTAGATTCCTCATAGTAAACCTTTTCTTGCTCCTTCATGGTTTTAATCTTTTGATCACGTTGGGCAAGTTCTCCTTGAAGTCTTCTTATCTCTTCCCTTTTAGACCTTTGACCCTTTTACAGATACAATTAGCCACAATTATTAAGTTTCCACCATCACTAATACTTCATATATGAAAAACAGTTACAGCACTGTAATTAACAAAATTTACCTGTAAGGCTCTTTGAAGTTCATCTCTGAGTTGCATGTTTAGATCATCTCGTTCTCTTTGAGATTTTGACTTTCTAGAAGTGTCTCGATTTGTGTCCATAGTATCAGTTCGCCCTCCAAGGCTGTGTCTCCGGCTAATTCCTAAATTAGTAATTGAATCGGTGTCAAAGCTTGAATCTCCATTGTGTAAGAGACCCATTTTAGAAACAGCCTCATATTGTCTGAGATCTTTTTCAGCAGATTCCAACTTACTCTGAAAAAAAAGTTCAGGCTTTAATACTTAAAACTATTGAAGTATTTTTTACAATAATGTGTTTAAACATACAGATGTTTCAGAAAGTTTGCGTTCAAGTGCCTTGCACTCAGCTTTAACTTGATCTAGTTCCATTTTTAATTGGGCAGTCTCTTGACTATTCACGGAGGTTGTGTACTCAAGTACTTTCTTTTGCGCATCTTCCAGCTCCTTGTTAAGCTCATTCACCACTTTCCCTTTCTCAGTGATAAGAGCTTCTTGAGCTCTTTGAGCATCTCTGAGTTTACGCTCTAAAATGCAACATTCATGATCCTACAAAATACAAGGAACTCACATAAAATACACAAATGTTAAAAGCAATAGATTTTTTTGAAAGTAATAATAGACCCTAAATTCTATACCTTTTGAGAAAATTTATGTGTCAAACTTTCAAGTTGTGTCTGAAGCTCTCTAACTTTAGTATCATGCTGCTGTTGTAAAGTTTTTAAGAATGATTCAATATGTTTTTCTGATGTTAAGCCTTTGCCATTGCGTTCAAGAATAGAAACTTTTTGTATGAGGTCAGCAGCTGAGGTTTTGGCAACGTCCCTTTCCCTTGTTATCTGAAAAGTGACAAATTACAAATTAAATTTAAGTTGTAACTGTAATTTTTTAAAAAGACTTTGATGTAAAGAAAGAATTTTTTCAGCACTTACCTCCTCTCTAGATTTTTCAAGAGCTAAATTCTTTAGCCGAAGATCCTCAACATCTTGGCGTAGTTGTGAAATCTGTGTTTGATAATCACTCAACAAATTTTGTGCCTCCTTGTGTGATAAGAATGCACCCTGTTTCTCAGCTTCAACAAGGAGTAATTTTCTCTTCAATTGTTCAACCTCAGTATCTCGTTCATAGCGTAGAGAATCTAATTCTTTATTTAAATGGGATATCTCTTGCATTCGAGTGGCATACAAGACCATTAACTGATCTTGGCTGTGCAGGTCTTTACAATAACAAGCAAGGATGAAGTATTAGTTCAATATACAATGACAGTCTATGTAAGGGATGTCAAGTCAAGTTTACCTGTTTGACGATATATATCTTCATTGGGATGACTTCCATTAAAAGTATAACCATTGTGGGCATGCAGGTCACTAACATGTCCATTGCTAACATGCCCATTGGTAGGATGCCCATTGCTAGCATACCCATTGCTGGCATATAGGCTTTCATTGGTGGTGAAATCAGCCTGAGGTATTGATGACAAGTAACCAAAATGATCTGCATTTTGTTTAGAATTCAAATGCATAATATTTGCAACACCATTAGAATAGCCAATATGGGAATTCTTGTTAATTAAGTCAGATTCAAATTGTGATACATCTTGGTTGGTTGCAAAGCTCTCCATGTTATTATCATATAATGGTTGAGTGGTAATAGGACTTCTGTGTGTCCCATTTTTAAACTGCAAAAAATTACAGTATTTGAGAAAAGCACTGCAACTCCAGAAATAATTTTAAATAACAATGCTAGCTTACTGCCTCTGGTTGTGCTGGAGAAGCAGACGAATGTTGCTGGCCATGGTTATCATGCCCTGCGTAATGGGGTGACTGGTGGTTTGAGCCTGAGCTACCTGTATTAGAAAGAGAATAACCTGAAAATTCAAAATGGATTTCATCAAAATTTAAAAATATGGTATTGAGTTGGACTGCGACATAACTTGCACAGTTGGGAAACAGAAATAGTAAATATTCACAAGTTCTTACCTCGAAAGCTGTTTTGTTGCAGGCTACTCACAGTGCTTTGATCGTCATCATCTTCATCGTCCATCAAATCATCGAATGCATCTGTCAAAAGCTTCTTCAGCTGTAAAAATGTAACAAAAGTATAAGTAAGATATATTTAAATACAGGTTGGGTCAGAATATATTGGCTACTCTGAATTCAGAATTTAATACCTCCTGATCTCGACGTCTCTGATCTTCTAAAGCTTCCTCCTCTTCTTCTCGTTGATTCTGGGAGTTGTCATTAATGTGAAGCGGCTCCGGCTCCCCAGAAAACAGACTTACGCCTGGGTCCATAGCCAGAACAGAAGTAATTCTAGAAGCAGAGAGATATATCGTCAAATACCACCATTACGCTTTTACTATAAATGCATTATTGACACATAGAGGTTGGTTTACAACTGATCGAGGAGTGCACTCATGTAGTGGTTCTACCGCTTGTATAAGAGCAAATCATCAGAAAAAATATCAAATATTGATACTAGTTTTGATTTTGAAAGTATACTGTCATTTTCAAATAAATATGATATTAAGAGGCAAGAGTCTCTAACTGGTTAGCAACAGGTGCAGGTTTACGGCACATCAGCAACTAGAATAAAAATGTGAAGTGTATTTCAGGCTAAACTAGAACTGTTTACCAAACATAAAATGTTTGTCAACAACACCAAATCACAGAAAACTCACTAACATTGTGTCATTTCGAACAGGCAATCGCAGAAATATTCCCGCTTGGAGAACGCCAACGGCAATGTTTTCGTAGCCTTCTCAAAACAAACGCTAACGGCTTATGATGGAAAGGCCGGCCATTTCAGTCCCAGCCAATCACGCGGTTGACCACAGTCCGACTTCCAGGACTGTTTGTTTACTGTTTCACGTAGCTCTTAGATTTCAACATGAGTGACAGCTTGGATGTGTTGGGAATACTTTTGAAATGTGCAAACTTTGCCGCAGTTAAGCACTCAGGTCAAAGAAGGAAAGACCCGGAGAAGACACCGTACATCAATCATCCTATCGGTGAGAATACGTATTTCTCTATAGGTTATGGCTATCTTCCTGGGATATTTTTATTGTATCGGCCCCAACAATATTGTCTTTGCTCTGGGTAAATATTGCTTTTTGCGTCAAGAATTTATCTATTACCGTCGTTTCTGTTGTATTAATGATGAAGTTCTCCCTTATTATTATATTTTAGGTGTGTATTCCATTACGTTTCTGACTTTCGGTTTCTTTTGTCTTCATACACATAATGTATTGTAACAGTTGAGACACCCTCTGTTGTTTGTTAAGGTGTTGCATATATTCTAACTGACGAAGGAAGTGTCAGGGATCCAGCCGTGATTATGGCAGCTATCCTTCACGACACTGTGGAAGACACTGATACCACTCTGGATGAAATTAAAAAGGAATTTGGAAGTAATGTGGCCAACATTGTGGCGGAAGTCACTGATGACAAATCTTTGCCTTATGATGAACGCAAGCGTCTCCAGGTACATTTTAAGAATCTTTGGCTTTCCTAAATACATCTGAACATACAAGCAGTCTGGATGTCCTGCTAGCTTTTAACTGCCTCTTAGAACACCACAAAAATATATTTCAATTATGTTTTTATTTCAGATTGTTCATGCTCCTACATCAAGTAAGGAAGCCAAGTTGGTAAAATTGGCTGATAAATTGTACAATCTCAGGGATCTAGAAAAAGCCACTCCAGAAGGATGGTCTCAAGAAAGAGTCAAACAATATTTCATTTGGGCTTCAAAAGTTGTTGAGGGCCTGCGGGGAACAAATCGCCAAATAGAAAACAGTCTAGATGAGATTTTTTCTAGACATGTTCTTTAAGCAATTGAAATTATGAAAGGTGCTTTGTTGAAGCTTTGTGATAATGAAATATATAATTTAACATTGGTTGAGTTTGTTAATCTGGTTGCTGTCCTGTGATTCATTTGTAAGTTTGCTAGTAACAGAAGAATTTGAAAGACCCTGTCTGATTAAAGTAGTTTATTTCTTTAATGAATTGCACAGTTTTAGGTCAAAATAAAACGTCATTTCTAGTAATGTTATTGTAGAGTTATGGCACCAAAGTAACAGTCTTAATTTTAAGGGAATGTAAAAAGTGAGCCTGTTGCAGCTGCTTCGCTATTTTTGGACGCAGCTCATTTTTCAAATGTAGCCATTTATAAGCATCCTGACTCATTTTTTGTTCTGCTCAAGGAAAGTTTTCATGTATTTGATGAGCGTTTCAGTTTCTTCCAGAGTGACAGCGTTGTAGATGGATGCACGAATGCCACCCACTAATCTGTTGGTCAAGATCATTTATAGGATTAGCATACACATGCTTTTCAAACAAAACACAGGAAAAAAACACCTCATTTTACCACACCTACATTGGTGAAATATTTAATAATCTATAGTATTAATTGATTGACTATACCTGTGTCCTTTAAGTTGAATCATGCCATTAGCAGCAGCCCCCTTTAAGAAAGCTGCCTCAAGAGTTTCGTCACCAGCTCCATTTCCTCCAATTCGGAAAGGTGCGTTCATGTGGCTGCGATATGCAGGCTTAACTGTACTTGTGTAAAATCCATTTGATGAATCAATGAAATCATAGAGAAGTTTACTCTTCTTTTGGGCAGCACTCTCCATAGCACTTACACCACCTTTTCTCTTTATCCATTCAAAGACTCTTGACATAACATAAATTCTGGAAATATTAGAGATATTATAAACCCTCTTCATGACTATCAGCCACTTTTCACTTCCTACTAGTTGAGGTACTCACGCAAAACAGGGTGGAGTATTATGAAGGGAATTATCCTTTGCATTGATTGTAAAGTCAAGAATAATAGGGCAGACAGGAAGAGGTGATCCCAGGAGATCTTCACGTACAATAACCACAGTAACTCCTGCTGGTCCAACATTCTTCTGTGCTCCAGCAAATACAACTCCAAACTAAAAACACAAATTTATTGCTACCAAATGTTATCTACTGTACTCCTATATTTTTTAACAACAAACTACATCTTAGGTATTTTACACACCTTAGTAATGTCAAATTTCCTTGATAAGAAATTTGAAGACATATCAGCAACAAGAGGCACTCCTTTGGTGTCAGGAATTTCAGGAAACTCAATGCCTGTAAACACATTTTCAAAATGTTAAAGGAATTTTAAGTATTAACATTTTTCAATGTTTTTATTTTTTCTTGCTTACCATGTACTGTTTCATTATCACAGTAGTATACATAGGAGGCATCTGAGCTGAACTTCCATGTTGACGCTGGGGGAATCTCTGTATATTTGTCTACTTTAGGAAAGACGAGATTAACTTTGCCATACTTAGCTGCCTCTTTAGCTGCTTTTGCTGACCATGATCCTAGAATGGTAAAAAGTTAACTCATTAGGAATTGCAAGTACATTTTTCTTGATACAACATTTTTTGAAATTATTTTCGCTTTAAATGCATGTTTGAATCAATTGTCCAGACATTATTTATGAGCAAGACATCAAACTCGTACCAGTAACTAAATAATCTGCTGAACCAGTGCGCCCCATGAGGTTTAATGCAACTGCAGCAAAAAGTCCTGTGCCTCCTCCCTGAAGGAAAATTATCTTGTAATTTTGGGGTACATTCCTGTAGGAAAACAAAACAAGTTACGTAATACTTTCTTAAACATTTGTTTTACTATGATAGTAATAGTTATTTGTAGTATTTACAATAAGTCTCGGATGGACTGTTGTGCCTGGTCATTGATGTTACTGTAGTCTGCGCTTCGGTGGCTCATCTCCATCACACTTATCCCAGAGTTACCATAGTGGACCAAGTTCTTCTGTACCTCCAACATTACCTAATAAAAACAGTCCAATCACAAATTTTTCACTAACCGACACTCATCACTGTTGGTACATGACAGGTCATTCCACCCTCCCTTCCGGACTCCCCCCCCCCCCCCCCCCCCCCCCCCCCCCCCCCCCTATTCATCTCAGTGACTCAATTGGTATAGCTTTTCGCTCTGTCTCTCAGCCTCAGCCAACGTAACGTGCGTACCTCTTCGGGAAGCTTGGCCGGCCCCGCCCCAAAATTTATAACTTTTTTCTCGGCCATCGTGAGGCTCTTGGGTTTGGGGCGCGCGATTGACTGAAGTGATGCGGCGCTAAACAGCGGACGACGACTGGCCCGTTGGATTCGGGCGTATCATCATGCCAGCCACAAGCCAGGCCCCTCCTTCCCCCACTTGTCGCTACGCCGGACGTGTCGCCAGCACCGTCTCCTCTCCGTCGCTCGCGAGTCGTCTCCTTATGGGAGCGAGTGAGAAGGACGCACGAGTTTCCTAGCGCAGCAGCGCCGGCCGGCCGGCGGCCCGGCGGAGCGAGTCTTTCCACTTGTGCCCCGCGGTGCCCCCCCGCGGTCCCCCCTCCCCCTTCCTCTCCGCGGCCCTCCCTCCCCCTCCCCGTGGCGGTCCCCGGCATTCAGTGACAAACAACAGCAGCAACATTACACAGTGGCCTGAACCTTGAAAAAGGCGATGCTCGTCAAGGTCTCGCTCACATGGAGGGTAGAGGGTGAGGCCCAGGCCGGCTAGACAAGGGGGAAGGCCCAGACAGATATACAGCCCGTCCCGAGGACGAGCCTCTACCTCGGCCTCTGTCGCCTGGTCATAGACATTTCTGATCTAGACATTTCTGATCTATAGACGACCAAGCCAGCCCCAAAACAACGTTCTCCCCTTCGAGTTGACTTTTCCCAGCCAGAAATGGAAGTCGATTAGACGTCCAATCTACTTCGACGCTGCTCGAAAAACGTGATTTTGTCACTCAAATCGAGGTATAGAGGTCAAATCGAAAATATTGTATCAACGGCGCCGGTGCAATTTTCATTTTTCAGTGACTTTCCCCGCCCGGCGCGCGTTTAGTCTCATGAGCTCGTAAAATTTTACTGACACAAAATGAGCTGGCGCTGGCGGTCTAGATCAAGAATGCGTTATGTCTATGGTGTTGGTACAATGAATGGGAGGGAAATAAAATAGTGGCTGTCGGTGGCTGAAGTTGGAGGCTCGTGACGACACGCCTCCCCAGCCGTGCGTCATCCCCACCATGTAGATGTAATGCATTATTGTGGTCATATACCCGAGCCCGAGAGCCAACGGCGACGCGGACGCCCGGACCGGACAACATCCTTGAGCTGCGCAAAGCTCTCAGTGGGTCGGTCGAAAACAGCTGGTGATGATGTCATTTGCCTTTCGACAGTCTGCGACCTGTGCGCGGACCCGATGATAAGCGTCCTCCTCCCCCATTTGGGTGATGATGACATTTCATCAGCGCAGCTTTTGTTGCCATCGGTCTAAAAGCAGGCCATACTGCGGCGGCGGGCGGCGGAGCTGCCGATGCCGAAGGTGTGGTATGGGCCCCGGTGGGCCCCGCCGCGAACGACCGCAGGGCCCGATAGTCTCGACCCCTCCACCCGCGCGAGGGAAGCACCAGGCCGAAGCAGTGTCGCCCTCTGCCCGCTGCGCCCGATGTCATTCCCCTGTAATTACGGGGAATCCATCCGATTGTGGCGGTGGAAAGGGCCCGGAACGGGCGTAGAAATACACACTACTATCTCTCTACATGTGGTGGGCGACATGGCTGTGCCCCTGTCCCAGCGAGCGCGTACTCTAGCCCGCATGCACGATTGCGCGAGGGTTTGCCTATCGCCGGTAGCCATGCGGCGGTAGCCTACGGCCCCGTGCGAATAGGCAACGCGCTCGCACCCGTGTATGCGGCCTAGTATACGCGCTTGCTGGGACGGGCGCCCGGCCTTGTTGTATCTTGTACTAAGATGGTCGTACTAGGAACGGCTTGAGCCCGTGGGCCGGTGGAGCGACTTGTTAAAGATGTCTGAAGGCGGATAGGAGAGGAGTTTGAGAGAACTGGACAACTGGTTTGCCGATAACAGAAGAACCTTTATTCAGGAGTGTGTCAGGTTTATATAGACAATCAGGCAATAACAATTGAATGACACGCAGTCGTGCCAACATACACAACAGGCCTGGCTATAGGAAAGCCGCGGCCAGCCCGCCCTGCCTCAATGCACTATATCTATGTCTCAAACAGGGCTCCAAAACTTATCATAACGCAAACATACGTTAGTTAGTGAGTGTAACAAAATTAAAGTTAATTTTATTTGTTGCGTTATTTAACGTATCAGAACAGAATACGCTATCGTAAAACCGGTTATGCCTGTAACGTATATCATTAGTTAAGGGTATAACGTTTAACATGGATAGGGTTCGTTATTCGTTACCGTTATAACTTTAACTGAAAGTAAACGGTTAGAACCGTTATAACTTTAACTGAAAGTTAACGGTTAGAACCGTTATAACTTTAACTGAAAGTTAACGGTTAGAACCGATATAACTTTAACTAATAGCTCTCAGAGACAAACCCCTCGAACAGGCCACAGAGCCCCTAGCGTTGGTGAAGGGGAGGGGACGCGGACGGATCTGAGAACAGCGGTGAGGGAGTGGGGGGGGGGCAGACAAACTACAGAATTGCCCCGATCTAAGCTGAAATTTTGTGGCATTTACAACCGGCTGGTGCCCGGGCCCGCGTCGTCACAATAGACTCGCAACATGTGGCTAACTTTCGGGCCGCTCTCTCTAAGCTGAAGTCCGGTCCCGATTCCTCAGTCAATATCGAGGCAGTACTAATGGCAGAGTTTGCCTGGCCCGATGCATAAAGCTTCCGATTAGCCCCCCTTTCCATCTATGGATTCGCGCCTGCACGCTACACGGGGCACCTGCCGCACTGACCGGTGTACTTCCCGGGCAATGGTGGGCAGGGGTATACAAAGCGCGGCTTACCTCCTTCCCTTAATAAACCGCTTGTCCAGCAGACTAGGGCTGTGTTGCGGGACTGCCTACTCTCTCCAGCCATTAGGCGCCATAGCCCCCTGGGGTAGACAGACCCGCAGCGCTGCTGTGTAATCTCTTGAACGGGACAAAATCAGGGTTACCATATAGATCGTCATTATACCCAACTTTTCCATGACTTCCAGACAATGATATTGCGGTTTTCACTGGCCTTTTTTTTTCTCTCTCTATAACTGGAGGTAATTTTACATTAAATGCAGTAAAAACTTAACGAAAAATTAAGGTAATTGTTGCATTTGCAGCATTTACTCTCGAAATTTTTGCAGGACCTAAATCAAATTCCCCTAACTTTTCCATGACTTCCCTGACCGGAATGAGCCATAAAAATGCATTGGTCGGCAGGACAAAATATTTCTTAATTTTGGGAGAGTCGATCAAAATATCGCAGTTTGAAGGCACGACATTATTTATTTTCCAATCCGCACTTTCAAAATTCACAAAGAAAGGAGATACAAATGTCTCACATCATATTTAGTCAAGCTAACGTAAGAAATATACACAGAAAAAACAAAAATATACAAAAATAATTATACAGAAAAACACTGATTTGTCTTCTCACATAACAGCAAACGCACAAGAAAGTGAAGTTAACTTAAACTTACACAAGATATCACAAATTATACAACTTACAAAAGATAAGTACAAAAAGAAAAAGGAACACAGTTTATCATGATACTTTGACATATAGTAACATTCTTTACACATTACACTATCCAAAAAACGTCACAAACAAAAGAAAACAATGACAATCAATTAACTATGAAACTGAAAACTCACATCATATCCTGATCTTCCTGCTCTTCTTCGCTTTCCCCCACGGTTTTTTCTGAGAGATACTCTTGAGCCACTTCCCGGACGAGGTCGGCATTCGCATGCAGAAAGACTATGTCGTCTACATTGGTGCTGGACAACGCAAAGCGCTGCGGACGTAAAATGGATCTCAGAGCAGAAAACAGTCTTTCAACAGACACTTGAGTTGCTGGGATGGCCAATACAATCATTGCCACCTCATATAGTTCCGGCCAAATCAACTTCTTGCTTTCCCAGAACTTTAGCACGTCCGACTTGAGAGGGAGGGGTTTGGTGAGGTCGTACTCCTCTATCATCGCGCGTACCTTGGCTCGTCCTGATGGCACCTCTACTTGACCGCCCGTGCCGCCCGCGCCTCCGGCGCGACTTCGCCTGCTTCTGGTACCGCTGCGACTTGTACTGGACTTGGCGGCCTCACGCTCTCGGTTCTTCTTTGCCAAGAAGGTGGCAAAGGCGTTATCTTCGTCAGGACCGGGGCCCTCGTTTTCCCCTGATTCGTTGTTGACTTCAGACGCAACCTCGACTCCCCGCCTAGCTTGCAACTTCTGCCACAAGTCAACCAGATATTGCTTGCCCTGCTCCGTCTGATCCGGTGACAGCATTGAGAAGAAGCGGGGGTCGGCGAAGACAGCGGCGTTAAAGGCAGGGTAGTCGAAGAGCGACGACAGTTTCTCTCCTCTTGCCCTGTCCTTGTACATAGCAGCTTTAGATTTCGATTCCATCGCCTGCAGGATGGCTTTGGAGAGGGCAGATCGACGATCCTTCAACGTAATCACAGCCTCTGTCCATATGGCCAGCAGCTGGCCGAGAGTCAAGTCCCTCGCCTGCAGCTTGATGGTGGCGGTGTAGACGGGGAAGAGATCGTCGAGAAGGTCTTGAACCTTGTCCCACTGCTCATCGGTGAGGATGTACTGCGTCCTCTCCTTGCTGCTGACATCCATCACTGCCTGGAGAAAATGTTGAAGGTTGGCCACACTCTTCAACATGGTATATGTTGAACCCCACCTTGTGACGACGTCGAGCTGGGGTAGGGGCTTCTTTGCAGCTTTTAGTTTTCTGGCGTTGGTCGGGGTTCGGAGAAAGTGTGCGAGTTCCCTCACAGCAGTGATGATCGGTTTGACTTCAGGCACACTCCCCAAACCTTCAGCCACAGCCAGCTGGAGGGTGTGGGCTGCACAGCGGACACTCTGGACGCCCTCGTCTTCCGTGCCAAGGTCCACGTCTAGCCACCCGGGATCTTCCGCGTCGGCGGCGTCGTCCAAGTCCTCAATGTCCTCCACAGAATCGTCGTCCAGGTGGAGCAGTTTTCCAGCTAACAGATAATTTGCCCCATTGTCCGAAGTCACACTCATGATGTTCTTGGGAGGCACATCGAACTTGCGCAGGATTTGCTGCAGCACCGACTTCAGGTTTTCCGCCGAGGAGCGGACGTGCAGCTCCTCCACAGCCAAGGTTCGCACCACTGTCTTGCCCTCCTTGATGTACTGCACA